TAAGCCCGCAGAAGGGCGGGCTAAAAAAAAGTCTTGGTTTTTGGTATCATTTTACCCTTTCGAACCAAAATGCAAAATTTCGTAGGTCTTAGTCCTCGATACCCCCTATGTAAAACCGCTCACCGCCTCGGGGGCTCTGAGAAAACGCTCACCCCACGCCCCGCCTGCGGACAACCGCTTACCTAGCTTGCCGCTCCGGATAACCGCTTAAGTCGCTTTTTCACCGAAAACGTAATATTGGTATCATTCGAAAGGGGCGGAAATTCTCTTTCGAATGATACCGTTATTACGTTTTCGGTGAAAAAGCGACTTAAGCGGTTATCCGGAGCGCCATGCTAGGTAAGCGGTTGTCCGCAGGTGGGGAGTGAGGTGAGCGTTTATCCGCAGCCGCCAAGGCGGTTAGCGGTTTTACATAGGGGGTATCGTCCTGTAGGAATCGTGCCCAGTCGGCAGTGTTATTGTCAAACTAAAAGCACACGTGCAATTATGGATAGTAAGCACGCCAACAAGAATTTTATTCTCATGAAAGCTAAGCTGTTATTGCAGGATATCAAGTAAAGAATTCGGATAGAAATTAGATTTAGGTTATTACAATACTCGTTACAAACAGGGAAAAGATACGTCGGCGAACACCGAGCACATTGCTCGGGCCTAAGAGCCACTTCCATGTAGCCAACGAATGTCGAACGCTGAACTCATCATTTGGCGGCATCTGAAACGTGTTGAGAAGGTAAGCATGCAAACAAAAACATACTATAAAACACAGCTTCTCTTCAAGTTTTAATGCATCGTAGTGGCAAAACAATGCAACACGAACACAAATGTTGCAAGGATTCTGATAGTTAGCAAACCATTTTCATTTTCTCTAGGTGCGAACAAATTCTGTGCAATAAAAAGTAAGGTGGACTATTCTTCGCCGTGTTGCACAAAATTAAGTCTGCAAGAATATTACGGTAAAAGTAAGAAGCCTGGAGGCTGTACTTTAAGGGGGTATGACTCCCGTAATCAATCATCAGTCATTGATATAAATGTTTGGCCTCGACCACAGCTGCCACAAAAAGCGTCTGTGCCTTTTTGGATACGCGATACTCCATTTGACTGTAGAAAACCCTCCGCCTCCGTGGTTGGACCTTACTGGGGACCGTAAAGTGCCGACTAAAAAAAGATTCTTCGCTAGAAGAAAAACAAGTCCAACAAACTCGCCATTTTTTATCGTCTCCTAGGGGGTAAACATTTTTGCGTCTCGGGAAAACGTTTCGTCAGCAGGGCTCTCCGACGCACCGTTCAGGCGCTAGGCCCTGTTTTGTGTCCAAGTTGCCAAAAAATGTCACATTGGGTAGGTATGTGTTAAGGGGTAAATAGTCATTTTAGGTTCCTACGACCAAAAATTTCGTCCGTTCGTTCGCCTCTCCGAAGCACCGTATAGGGGCTAGGCCCACTTATGCTGTAAAATTTAGTAAAAAAAAAACCTTTAGGTGAATTCCCTGCACCCTGTTACGAAAAAGAGATAGCCGCCTTGCCCATCCCCAGATTTGAAAAAAAACAAAAAAACATCTACGTTTGAGCCCCCCCCCCTCCCCTCCGCAAGCTCACACGCCTTACAACCCTGTCTCTTGTAGAGAAAGGCTACAAGGACGAAAATTTCCCCCGTCCTTGTTAGGAAAAAGAGATAGCCGCATTGTTAAAAGCTTACAGTGAATTTCACTGTAAGCCACGGTGAACCCCTGCAGCACCGTGGGCTACGGTGACATTCACCGTAGGCTACGGTGACATTCACCGTAGGCTGCGGTGACATTCACCGTAGGCTACGGTGACATTCACCGTAGGCTACGGTGAATATCAATTCAAGCTACGGTGAATTTCTCCGTAGGCTACGGCGAATATCACCGTAGGCTACGGCGAATATCACCGTAAGCTACGGTGCTGCAGGGGTTCACCGTAGCATACAGGGAAATTCACTGTAAGCTTTTAACCAGAGGGGGTGAACCTACAAGTCTAGAAGGCACAGTGCAGCTGTTGCCTGGGGTTGCCGCGTTACCAGGGGCTATGACGCCAGTACCTCAGATGCTGTAGGGGCAGACCAACAATGTGAAATGTTGGGTCTTCCCCGATGGACACAAATTTTTACATACATCTCTGAACCTCCTCAAGTCATCACTATTACACATATCCCCCTCAAAATGGCAAGGACACGGCATTTCAACGTCGAAGTGTCAGGTGGGCAGCAGAAGCAGGTGCGGGGGGCGGGGCGGGGAGGGTGGGGATCGGGTAATACTGTCCGCGGGTACCGCCACATATATGCGCTGTTTTTTATTAACACGAGTTTTCATACGACGCCTTGTATGTATGCGAGATGCATATCATTAGAAAGAGAATTTTCACCTGATTTCAATGTTGTTGCTTCTGCTCCATATTTATATCGGTTCTCACGGAACGCGCATCTTTCTGAAAGCGCCGACTTTTGCTACAATGCTCTTGTGACCTGAAGGGGATACCATCATTTTCAGAGTTAGAGAGCTATCAGTTAAATGACCATCAGCATTTCCAGTTTTATATGGTACTTGTCTAATAATAACATGTTTTCTCAGAGGAACGTGATACACATGTTGACAGAACAACACTCGTTGACAACCATGTAGATGTAAAGCAATAAAACTGAGCACTGAAAGGGCCTCTGTAAAGAACGAGTACCAGTATTCACACAAAATTAATTCTGTTTTCTTTCCTCCTTGTTCACTATTAATTAAAATAAAATTTTGCCTTATGACCGAAAGTGAATGGTCTTCAACCCAGAATATTCAACAAAATCCATGTGTAATCCCTGTTTGTAGAGTTTTCCTACAGAAATGCGCTCTTTAGCTACACATTTTTGAAGATAAATTGCAAATGATCTGCAAGCGCGAAAGTATACTTAAGCTATAAGTATTCCGTAATTAGCCACTGTAACCGCAGGTAAACATCAACTTTTCTTGAATCACATTACACCTAGAAACATAATAGAATTGACACTCAGTCATAGTTGCTTTTGCAAGCGCATGACTAACTCGTGATCCTTCCACCCGGGTCAGTATTTACCGTGCACATCTTAAATCGAAGTGGTGGCCCCCTCGGTTTGCTTAGAAGCTCTTGTTTTGCTTCGGGTGTTTTCAAGTGTCATTTCCTCTGTAGAGCACTTCCCGTGTAGTTAATTCAATGTAGGGTGCAGACAAAGTGCTCTATCTTTCCAGTGCGAGATAGAGGTGGGTATAGTGTTGAAAACTGTGCGCCACTGCACGAGCGAAACAAAATACCTTTATCCATGCTTCTGATCCTGATGAACCTCCAGTGTTCACTCTTAAAAAAATCAGTACAAAATTCTGTAACATTTTTACGCAGTAATTTACACATCACATATTACAGAAATTTGTATCAGATTTGATAAAAAGATTTGTTTCTGTAACATGGATACGAAAATCCGTACCACCTGATACAGAACCTCTCTGGGGTTTTAAAATGGTATACCATTTTTCTACCAATTATATAATTCTTTATCTTGTTAATCTTCCTTCCTTCCGCCTCTTCTTTTTTTTCTAGGGAACCAACTCCTTTGATTTAATTTGAAGGAATGTACCTTGCCGCACCGGGAGTTGAATTTAGACCCCCGGATTAGGAAGTCGCGCCTTTACCCGCGCGGCCACCCAGGCTACCTGAGAAGAGGTCTGCTGGAACCCGGCGTCATGCCACCGGGGCTCCCAGAGACCGTGCCAACCAAGTTCTATAATTCTGTGTCGTGGGCTACAGAATATTGTTGCCAACGTTACTTTATCTTGTATCTGTCACAGAAATTCGTAACATTTACGGAATTTTGTAACATTTTGATCAAATTACAGAAGTTTGTACCCATGTTACACGTTTCTGTATCACAAGAGCCTGACACAGAAAGCTGCATCAAATTTGATACAGAATTCCGTATTATTTTTTATATAGATGCTCCACGTAGTTCTTGTGAAGCAATAACACTCTAAACCCTTATATGTACTTCATAGCTCTGCCTTCTAAAACACCTGTACTTCATCAGTTATTGCCACTATTTGGCCAAGTGACAACCTGTACTCTGCGAGCAACCGTCGAAATTGTACCCGCTGGTCTGGTAAAGCTTCGTGTCGGCAGAGTGAACACACACTGACTGCACTCAGACCTGCCTGTCACTGTAACATGCAGACCACTGTTATTAATGCATCATGCCTAGAGCGTGTCATGTATATGTAGTAAGGTACGGCGAAAAACCATACTATTTTGGATAATGATGTCGGCTCACTTTGGAAAATGTGCTACTAGGTGATTAACGGTGCCAAAGCAATGTTTTGGGCGTTTTCATCTTCCGCCCCCAATAATGCCTCGAACTGTAACATTGAGTTATGAAAAAAACATTGTGGATATTTGCACCAATTGGGGCACCCAATACTAAACGCTATTTGCACCAATTACGGCTCCCGCCACCCCATATATGTATATATAGTATATAAAGTATATATGTAGTATATATAATATATAGTATATACAGTATATATGTACAATATAATATGTATATGGATTCTGGTGCAAAAAGCTGCCCTGTGGAGTTGAGCCCCAATTGGGGCAAAAGAAGTAGCAACAGTTATTTGCCCCAATTGAATCATGATGGGGCAAATCTCCTGACTGTGAGCAGGTCCACCAATTGGGGCAGTCGACAACAGGGTAGCTATTTGCCCCACCAAACTTAAGCGCAAGGGAATTAGCAGTTATATTCGTCTTTTCACCGATTGGGGCAATCAGGGATAGGGTAGCTATTTGCACCAAGTTAAACATCAACATACCAAATAGTAGTTGATGAATTAAATTTCTACAGGGGAACCGAGTAAGGAAAAGAAAAGTAGAATACTCTCGGGATGTATCCAGTGAGAAATAAAACATCTGTCCGATGACAAAACAAAATCAAATATCAGAAATTTGTCGATGTTTTTATCAGATGTGATTGAAATGTGGTCCTGAAAATTACACTTTTCTGGTATCTGATATCATTCCGATATCGGACAGATGTTTTATTTCTTGCTGGGTCTACTATCTCTTATAAAATTGTATAACTTAACTACAGAGCAAACTCAAGCAACAACCCCTTGGTTTGGAGGAGAGTTATTCCTAGAAAAACTTTTGCTCCTCAGAGGAACGAAGACTTTCACTTTAAATTGAAGTAATTAGCCAATTTGTTATTTTTTTAAATACTTTGCTTTCTTGCAAACTTTGCTAGAACTCCTAGGATTTGTGGCAAAAAACTACTGATATCTCGTTTCTCAATTGGAGCCATCGCTCACCTCTTGTGCTTATATCCCTGTCTGGGCGATCTACTAGAACGTTGGGGGGAAATAGCTACTAGTAACCCGTTTGCCCCAATTGGGGCAATGGATTGCTACATAGCTATATGCCCCAAAGTGACAGTCGGGGAAGGTATTGGGGCAAATAGCTGCTCTTACACGAAGATGCCCCAATTGGGGAGATTGTTCACCCTGCGACTATTTACCCCAATTGGGCCAAAGAGCTAACACAAGGCTGATTGCCCAAATTGGTGACTGAATCTCTGCTTGGTTTACCAATTGGTGCAAACAGCTTATACAACAATTTCTGCCCCAATTGGAGCATATATGATTAATCATAGAAAAAAATCTAAATCAAGAATCTATCTTGAAAGCAGATGATACCAAATTTTAAAAATAGGGCTATTTTCCTATTTTTCTCTAGTTAGCTGCAATTTGTTTGGTTCCATGCAATCTTGCAATTTGGCGGCCTAATGGCGTACTTCACTTCAACGAGGGTTAGGACGTCAGTTCACATGAGGAGGACATATACGGGGACGGCCGCTAGCGGCGGCGGCCCATAGTATTGTTAGACAGCGATGGGGCCCATCCCACGCTGTATTGTTAGGCAGGGTAAGGGTAGGCGCCTGGCGCGACACTCACTCACCGGACACGATATCCCCCCCGCACCAGCACCCAAGAAATTGTTTTCTGGTCCCCGCTTGGTTCTCTTGCAGTATCGAGAGATCGAGAGTAAAGGCTGGCTGACCCGTTTAAAAAAGGATTTACCCCAAGAAATTGCCGAAATCAGCCCGAAAGAGCCCCGGAGGCCACGGGCATCTTGCTTTTCTTGAAGTAGTATTGACACTTATGAACAGTGAACTTGTGAACAGTGCGACTTGTCTTTGAGTTTGAAAAGGCAAGGAAATTTTATCAGTATCAATGGGGCACGTCCAGTTGCATCTCTTTCTCTACCTCTTTATTTTTTCATGTGTCTGCAACTTGCGACCAATGTTCTTGTTGTGTCTACTGTTTCAAGTGTGTTAATTGATTTCGTGCTCTGAAAGGTGATTTGTTTTCTACACTCTATTCTTTGCAAGTGACCTAAATTGCCTATGATTGAGTGCTTGTATTTTCGTGTGTGGCTTGCCTGTTGCTATTGCTCTAATTTTCTTGTTTTCTTGTTGCTCGACTTGTCTTGGAAGTGTTCTGAATTTATCTGCACTGTGTTTTGTTTTGTTTGTTACACTCTGCTTCTGCCACCGACTTAAATTGTTGCTTTGTCGTTAATGAACATATGGTTTGTGTCGATTAATCCTGTACCTTGCCGTGTTTATTTTGATGCTAGTGTTTGCTTTGAAATTTTCTTCACTATGAGTTGTGTTGTACCATGCAGTATTTTGTCTTTGATTTTTTGTTTTGATGAAGCATTGAAATGATTTCCTTTAAAATGTGTGTTGTTTTGTTTCTGTTGATCTGATGGTTGAATCTGTGATGTCCTGAGTCTAAAAATGTATCCCTCATCATTTTTACTACACTAGAAACCTACTTTGTGCTCCTCTGCCTGGTTCACGAGGTAGTCCTCCATCTTTCTTTAATTCTTTTTGGGTATTTGGTTTTAAAACTTTTTCATTCTCAAACTCATTTGCTTATCACATTGTACTGCTTGCTGCCAGTCTGCTTAACTAAGGTATACTTCAGAGGTACAGTATGTAATTGCTGTGTAAAAATATATTTAATTTAGACTAATGTTCCCATAATTATTTTGTTTTTATTTCCAGGTTCAACATTGTCTCATTTTTACCACCACACTATTTGGAACTTCTGTTCCTGTTTTCATCTATCTGATCATTCGCTGATCTTTAGTCATCTTTGGTAAGTAAAAAACCTGGTAATTGGCTAAGCGATAGCGAAGCCTATTACTCCAGTGATGATCAAAAAGTTTCGCGTCTGCCTGTTTGTCTGTCTGTCGGTAAGCACGATGACTCGAGAACGGTTTGAGCTAGAAAGCTCAATTTTTTTTTGTAACTTTGTATCATAACTAGCTATATGTACGCCAGACCACGTCTCGCGTAACAGGCTTCGCGATATCTCACGAAACACTGTTACGCTGCGACGCGCCTGGCGCACATATAGCTAGGCCTGCGGCGCTGACACCCGAGACGAGTCAATAGGAGTGTATACACAATTTTTTGATATAAAGCTCTTTTTACGGTTTAATAGACCATATAGTCATTTTCACC